CTCGACTCGACTCGACTCGACTCGACTCGACTCGACTCGACTCGACTCGACTCGACTCGAATGGTTTGACGATTAGAGTCAACTTGAGTTGAGTCGAGCCTGCTTTGAGATGAAATTAAATGCCAGTCCCCAAAGCAGTTGTTACGTTGCATGGTTTAGTCATTTGTCCATTGACAAATGGGTATTGTTTGTGCGTAGATTGTGGGCTATACAGAGTGAGGCGAGCGCACAACTAACATGTCTTCCTTTCTCTTTTACCCCTCTCCCTTAAAGACACAATACTTGGGAGCCTGAAAGGAATATTCTCGATCAAAGGCTGATTGAAGTGTACCAAAGAAGGTGAGATCGTCTTTTCGATCCTCATTCATTTGGCCTTGATGCACCAGTTGAGCATGGGCAAGTCTTATGAACGTCTGCTTTTGTGTCATTTCAGCGAAAAACAAAAGAAGCGTCTTTTCGACGCCCAACCTCCGTCGCGCTCCGTCTCGCCGGCCGGCCGAGGCGGGGACGGGGATGGGGACGGCGACGGCGACGGCGACGCCTGTTCCGACGCGTCTCCGCGCTCCGCCAGTCCCGGGGCGCCGTCCAGCCTCGAGCCCGAGGGGCTGGCCGAGGGCCACATCGGCACGCTGTTCGATGACTCGGCGTCGACGAGGCTCGTTTCGGTGGTCGCTTCGCCGCTCGGCGAGATCATCATCCCCACCACCGCCGACACGTTCGGAGCGCACTCCGGCGCCAGCTCGTTCGGCGGCAATGCCGCCTCTTGCTCCACCTCCTCATCGCCGCCCTCGCTCTCTCTTCTCCTCGCCTCGGAGCCGGCCAATCTGCACAGCGCCAGCCGCCTTGCCAACGCTCATTTCGTCACCGTGGCGACAGCAGAGTCTAGCAGTGCTGGCAAATCGATCGGCCAACATGAGCCGCCGTGTGCAGACACCTTCTCAACGAACCTCGGCGAAAACGACTGGATTCTGGAAGGCCGACTCAGAAAGACAACCGTCCTCGTCACGGCCGCCTCGGCTTCCGCCGCCAACGCTGCCGCCGCCGTGGCCAATTCGCGTCAGGTTGCCAAGGCGATAATTGCACAAAAATCGTCTTCCAACTCTACCACCCCTTTGGTGGAGGCGAAGACTCCCTCTTCTCCGGTAAGTTGCTGGCCAATTCGTCTGACCAATTGGTTGGTTTGTTTTGATTTGAATTGATTTGATTTGATTTGATTTGATTTGATTTGATTTGATTTGATTTGATTTGATTTGA